GAGACCCTCGCCCGCTGCCGCCGCCAGTGGAAAGGGCTTCAACCTGAAGACCAGTGGCTCCTCAGTGCCGCCGTCGCTGACCACCTCAACGCCGGCCGACAATGACCTCTTTGCGGTGCGCACCAACAACCACCTGGCCAGCTCGACGAAGAACTACAGCAAAAAGCTCTATCCCAACTCCACCTCCACGCTGCTGTGGATCACGCCCGAGTCGAGGAATGGCAACTCGGCGGAGGAGGGCACCGGCTCTAAGATCCTCACCACCACCATTGAGGTCTCTCACGCGCCCGACAGTGACGAGGAGGAGGAGGAGGAGGAGATGGCTGCTGTTGCGGCGGCNCCACCACCATTGAGGTCTCTCACGCGCCCGACAGTGACGAGGAGGAGGAGGAGGAGGAGATGGCTGCTGTTGCGGCGGCGGCGGCCACAAAGGCCACGACGTCCACAACGCCCACTACCAACACCAACCACAACAACAGCAAATTACTGAAAAGTCCACAGCGAGCGAGTGGGGCGGCGGCCACAGCAGTTCCCTCCGCCCCCGTCAGCAGCCTTCGTAGCACTCGCAGGAACTCGGAGACGGTGACGACTCCCTCAACAGCATCAGTTACCGCTGGTAAACCGGCGTCCACTACGGCCACTGCTGCCAGCGTCAATCAAACGGCGGTGGGCAAGGCTGGTGCTACTTCACCTCGAGGCGGAGGAGCAGCAGCAGGCTCGGGGATGAAGTCGCCCAGCAGAGGAGGCGGACAGCCGCCCACCTCAATCACTCCTACGACGCCTCCTTCAGCTGCGACTGCGAACTCAGCGCCGACCATCATCAACAACAAACAAGCAAAGACGGTCGCCGAGGCACCACCACCACCACCACCAGCAGCAGCACCTGAGGTGGCGAAGCCAGCAGTGGAGGGCATTCTCAGCTCAGGCAGACGAAAGCGAGGCGCCAGCGGCAGCAGTAACAGTGGCGCCCCAGACGCCGGCGCTTCTGCCTCCAACTCCCACAACCTCGCCGCAAAGAACTCCCGAAAGAGCGTCTCCTTTGAGATGGACCGCCAGAAGAAGGAGCAGCAGCAGCAGCAGAAGATTCAGTCGCCACCGGCAGCCGCCGCCGAAGATATTGACGAGCCGATGGGCCTGGCGGAGCTGCCGGGCAGCATCAGCGGACCCTTGCTCGGTCTCCCCTCCACGTCCTCGGGTGTGACCTCGGCTGGAGGACGAGGCTACTTCAAGAACCCTCGCGAGTCGACCTTCCGCATCATACTGCCCAGCCAGTACTACCGCATCGCACCCAAGCCCACGCCCTCCGCCGCCGACTTGGGCGAGCCGGTGGAGGAACAGGAGGAGGAGGGGGCGGGGGCGGCGAATCGTCGAGGCGCCGGACGGAAGGAGACGCGCAGTGCGGAGCAC